ATCACAATTATGGCATCTCACCATTTTTCATCAGAAACTGCTAGCATGTTTTCTCTTTCTAGATGAGGAAGGTTAGACCATGTATTTGTATTTGCTCCAAATTGTTTCTTTGTTGTATTTCAGCGTTTCAAAAGAGATTCCATCCATCTGTTCTTTGGTCACATCTTTTTTTGTTGGACCTCAGCCTTCATTTGTCTGTAGATCAGCTGTCTTGCCTTTGTGTTTTGGTAACATTTTCAGTTCAGGAACATCATGTGATCGTGACTTAGTAGTTCCTGAACCTCCTAAGCATTTTCATCAAACAGTATCCATGTTTCCTCATACCTGAGTCTCCTATCAGGTGCCGTTTGTGATGGATTTAGGAGCAGATCAAGCACCATGGACATTCTATGGTTCCTGTTCATTTACCTTCATCAGTTGATATTGTGAAACTGCCTGGGTCTTTCTTTACAGCATCTTTGAGTCCATTGATATTGACTGTCCTGAAGCCAGGCTTCTGCTGCCGCTGGCACCATTGGGCCAGGCTGACAGAGATAATAGACCGGACTAAATGATAGTTATTCCAACAGTCGCTAGCACCGATCATGGTGCAGCTAACACAACATCCTTGTGGTTACTTGCTTGGTCATAACATAGTCAGTCTAGTCTCAATGTTCAGAACAAGGGTGTTGTCGTGAGATCTTGCCTTTGTCTTTCTGATGAAATAGGACATTTGTTTTGTGAAGCCCATATTCTAGACAGTTCATTAAGAAAATGACTCTGTTGGTGTTTGCCTCCCCTATGCCTTTCTTATGAATTATGCCTTTAAAAATGTTTGTACCCCTCCCAAGCCTGGCATTGAAATCACTAAGAGTTATTGAATTGTCCCTTGTTGAAACACAGGACAACATTTTTTCAAGGCTGAAGTGGAATTCTTCCTTGTTTTTTCCCATTTCTTTTAGAATTGGAGCACATATACTGAAGACTGTGGGGAACGACTTCTAGTTTAGGATGAGTCAAAAGGCTATTAGGTGCTCATTTATCCCAAAGGGCAAGTCATTGAATAGTTAACCACTTTGATTTTTACAGCAAACCAACCCTGCTAGTTTGCATTCTTCCTCATATTTTTCCTTTCAGAGAGTGTCCTCACCACTTTTGAGCTGACTATATTTTTCTCACAGGGTCTCACTCAGGGCAGGGATGTTAATATTATTGTGTATAGTTCCTGGCAATGATAGTAGTGCAATGTCTAGATCTCTTGCTGCTGAGGTTGTCTATTATGTCCTGATGTTCTAGGTCCCAAACATCAATTTGTGGTGAAAAAAGAAGTCTATGGGTTCATTTAATGTGTGGTGGAGCATGGTCTTTGCCCAAGGGCAAGGATTACCAAAGTGAGTGGAGATCAGGCTGTACCACACAGAGAAGGATTAACACACATATGCACATGTTACTTCTCCTAACATGTTACCCCTATGCCTCTAGATGTTGTCATGATAGGGTAATGGCAACTGTTTGTTCGCTCATTATGCATTATTACAGTCTAATACAGAATGTTGCTTCTCTAACTGTTTCCTTCTCAGAATTCTGTCTGAATGCTGTACTCATGTTAGGATTGCATCATTAATTATAGCACTGACTGACTTATATTAACCTTTTATCAACCACTTAATCCAAAAATTAAATTGAGTCCTCTTCCTCTAGAAGTCATCATACAAGTTGTACACTGTGCACTTACAGTCTAAACCACAGCTTCTAAATTATGTTGTATTTGTACTGAATACATGTGCAAATAGTACATTTGTTAAACATTTGATTGCTGTTTGAGTATGAACAAACAGGCATTGTATGTAACTAATAAATATGCAACACCAACAGCAAAAACTCTGACAACTGTATCCTCAAAGAAATCATGTATTTTAAGTCATAGAATGGGATTTCTACACAGTAAGGTCCCTTTGTGATAAACACAGTTTATATGGTTTCTCTGGGATGTAAATGGATTTTATTTTTGCCAACATTAAAATGAATAATCAGGAGAATCCTCACCCCACAGTAAAGTAATTTTAGCCCCAAGGTATAAGTGATCTCCTTTTGCTAGATTTTAAACAGGGTGATGAAAGATGGTTTAGAGATTTGTAAAAACTTTCTTTGAGAAATCTCTTAGTGACAAACAGGGATTTCATCCATTCTCAGGCTTTACAAGAGTATTAATATAGACACTGGTGAGTGAACAGCCTGGTTTGCCTCACTCCTGGCTTTAGTTTCTTAAATTTACTATGATGAGATCTAAGATCCTCAAGCCACAACATATCATCAGATTACTGTTTATATGACAGTTCAATTCTAAAAGGTAATTTTAAGAAATGCAACAGTATTTAATTTTGTGGTACTAATTCTGAAAGGAACCCCCTACCTACTAGACCCTCCACCTACGGCCCCAGCATCCAATTTGTTCTAAAAAGATTCCAAGGATTACGCTTCCCATTTTTTTGATTCAATTTTCAACCAAAGGCACTCTCACAGAAGTTGCAATAAACCAGCCATTAGGAACAGCTGTTACTGACCCTGGATGGCTGTTAGAAAAACTCAGAAGCACAAAAGTGCCCAAAGGTTGGAAGCAGCTTTGAAACTGTTGGCAGAACTGACCTGAAAGACGAGTTTTAAAAGTAAGTCCAAATAGTCAGCCTGAGAGTTCTGAGTTTTATTAAAAGCCAGTCTTTCAACACTGAATCAGCGCAAGACAGTATGAGAATTCCATTTATGATGCCAAGCTCAGGCGCTTCAATCCCTATAAGTTGGGGCCCAATATTTGGCATGGGTTACATTCCCTATCACCCCCCTCCCTCTCCTGGGCCCTGCAGGTAGGAAAATAATCGGAGAAATTCAGACTAATCATATGAATGGACTAAGAGGAATAGTATTGTGAATAAGTGTAGTTGACTCTGATATGTAACGTCCCAACAAGACATCTAAATGTATGAAACCACGACGAAGAAAGAAAACCAATTGGTGCACGTGGCTTTGACCGAGGGTGACAATAGCAAATCCAGCCCTGCTGACTCTGCAAGGCCCTCCTTAGTAATATGAGGGCTTGTGCCAAAGTTCAGAAAAAATGTACCACAGATTAATTAAGCAACATGTAACAAAGCAACACCCAGAAAATCGTATCATGCAAAAAAAAGTCCCTATTCCTGGGAAAGTTCTGTCCCACTGGCAGGACAGGCCCATCAGAAATGGTGGTATACACTTGGGAAGGAATTGCCTGGGAGTTTTCAACATTGAACTCAGACCCCATGAAGTCTCATGACATTAGTTTGGCGGAGGGAGGTTCAACTGAAGCATTCAAGAGGACATTGGATGATTATTTGGATAAAAATAATGGGTAAGAAGTATGCTCAAAAAACAGGAGGTTGGCATTTGGTAATGATGCTCATTTAGCAAGCTGGTTCAGGCATGATGGGCCAAGTGGCCTCCTCCTTCACTGTAAAGGTCTGTGATTTTGTGATTAGTTCAAGTATGGCCAAGGAATAATCCTGCTGACTAACATGTTCCACCTCCCACCTGAAAATGAGGAATGTGTACTTCTGCATGTTGAATTTTAACTAGAAGAAGGACTGATGGTGGAAAGGCCATAGAATGCACTCTGAGCAGGGAACTTCAATATCCATCATCAAAACTGGCTCAGTGGCCCCCACTACTGGCCAGGTCCTAAAAGACACAGTTTCCAGATCAGGTCTGTTGCAAGTGATGAAAGACCCAACAAGAGGGAAAATGCCCAAGTGATTGATTTCCAGAGTAATATCGTCAACATGATAAGGTGGCAGCAGTGGAATCTGAGCACACGCTTCTGCAGACGGGGAGCTTACAAATGGAATTGTTGAGTTGCTGACCATACCCACCTTTCCAGAAGGATTTGTTGGACAAACTAAAGATTTACAGTTTTGAACAGGTAATGAAGGATGGACGTTAATAGGAAATGACCCTCACAGCTGAATGAAACTTACAGGTCATAAACTCAATAGATAACACAATCACTAGAAAACCAAAGCATAGCAAGACATGTGACATTCTGCATGCACCAAGGAAACGCTAAGCTTAGTGTCCCTAACTTTGAACCAGGAGGCATGTGTTCAGTTCCCACCTGCTCCAAAGATGTGTGATGACTTCTCTAAATAGGATGATTCTAAAATGTGTTCAATTATTTTAGGAAGGAATCTGGCAGAAAAGGGCATTAACAGAAGCAGTATACTAAAGCAAAACCTGATGCAAGTACAAAGAGTGTACACCATCCCAGCAGACTGCATAGGAGTGCATTCAAGCTACAGGACAGTCCATCTGATGTCTGCCAGAGGTGTATTCATGGGATTATCAAACCATAATTCTGATGATGTATGTGATTGGACAATAAAACGTAGACATTTATTTTCAAATTTCCACCTCATGGAAAACATCAATTTCATCAAACCATCTAAAGTGTTCATAAAAATTCAAATAATTTGTCCTCAGAAAACCTGGCTATTTGTTATTGACTAAGATTGGCACAGGGGCCTGTGCCAATATATTGCTCCTGCAAATTTTAACAAACATAATCACGGATATGGGAAGCCATGATGAAACAAATGATTATCAGACTTTCAGTGTACAACAACTCACCAATTCCATGTGCAGGAGCAATGGTACTGGAAAACAAGTACAATCAGTTTGCTTGGACATCACAGAAGTTCTCTATCATAAGAGGCTGGTGAACTAACAATTACATATACGCTAGCAAGCCACAACCTCACACTAGATCCAATCCATGGAATCAGGTATCAGAGAACCAACAGAAACTGCAGCAATTTATTCAAGAAATAATATTGGTGTTGAATAAAACAAAGTACCTCACTTTCTTCTAAATTAGCAAAGCTAAAATTTCAGCTCTCTGCTGTGTAGAAAAAAATAATATTTAAGTGGATATGGCTGAACAATTAACTTAAGATCATTTGAAACCTGAGAATATCATTTTGGAGATGATGAAGTCTTTAAAAGATGCTTCCACGCAGCTCATAAAGATGAATGAGCAGTTGAAGAAGCGACAAAAGGAGACAATATGAACTATAAGCTCTGTATTAATATCACATGATTCCCACTTTATGGCAAGATTTGGGGCAACTCACATATAAAATGGATCTGCATCAATACTTTGAGGTATGGCCATTGCTGCTCCTGGCGTGCGTTCCTGTATTCTTCATTGTTGGCCCTATTTTTAGTGAAAGCTTGCATTTATATTGTGTCTTTAACTTAGTAAAGTGCCCCAAGTTGCTTCATGGGAGCATTACAAAACAAAATTTAATACTGAGTCAAGTTAGAGGATATTAGGACATATGACCAAAGCTTTGTCAAGATGTGTTAAAAAAAAGATTCAAAAGGAAAGAGAGGTACGGGAGGTGGAGAAGTAAAGGAAGGGAATTCCAAGTCTTCTTAGGTGTAAAAGTCTTAGTAGCCTCTATCAGTTCAGCACCAAAATTGCTAATGCATTCTTCCTTTTGCAATCCAATTCTTGTGTTTCCTACATTTGTAAGAAACCATTTTAAAAATAAGTTAAATGTCAAAAGAAATTTCTACAGGATAGTTTCAAATGGATCAGCGCTGGCCTATAACAGAAATATTTACATTCAATACCACATATTATTTGGCATGCCATATTTCCTCCCTCTCTTGGCCTTTGTTTACGTAGAAAAACATTCCATGATCTTCAAAATATGACATTTTTAACCAAGCTGCTTTTTGCCCTCCATCGTTGCATCTTACCTACTCCAAATAGCAGTGTGAGACTCCAACTACTAAGTAAACTGTCTGAGCTCAAATCTATTTTACATTTTATATAGTTATTTCCAACCGTAACCTGGAATGATACAGTTTTGAAAAGGCTATTAGTGCTCAACCAGTAGCTGCACCAGTTTTTAAATCATCTTTAGGAAAAGGTTTAACAAACTGCAGCATATGTTGGCCTTGTAAACAACATTGGTCACACAATCAGCATTCCTGCAATGTTTATTGTAGCTGTGTTTCCTTCCTTGGGTAACTCTGCCTTCTGTCCATTCATTACTGCTAGATGTTGGTGAGCCAGAGATTTTCAAGGTCAGACTGAGCCCAAGCTGTGCCAAGGGCCTGGTCTATCTCCTAGATGGATCCTTTGAGCTAAATGCTTAAAAAAAAAAGGAAAAAAGTATATATTTTAGGGATACAGTAATGTCATACAAGCAGAGAGTTTCAAACATTGAAATTAACCACAACAAGTATTACTGAAGCAAAATATTTCCACTCTAAATTGTGCTTAAATATATTTTTCCAAACAGTTTTACTTCTTGTAACATAAAAAAACCTGTTTTGTGTAATACTTTCATCATTATCAATATTTCATGGACACATTCCATATTCAATGTTTTTTAAAAAAAAGCTTTCACATTTGAAGGTAATAATATTCAACTTACAAATGTATTGCAACAATGTGCCAAAATGTTACAATCATCTCAATATGGCATTTTCAAAACAAAATGACTGAACAGGTAAACAAAAACAGTAAATAGATTAGTACAGAAATAATTTTAATCACAAAGTTACCTGGCAGGCAAGAGAGTATACTTTGAGTGAGTTTTGGAGCCTTTTACAGGAACCAAGCCTGCCCCCTAAATTCTCCCAGTGAGACAACAATGTTCCTTGAACAAAGTGCAATGATGCAAATGATGGGATTGCAGTAAAGACTGTTAACTGCTTACTTAGCAGCCATTAAGTGCCCAATCTTATTACAGTTACAGTGCTTAGTGTATTTTGTGCTAAATGAGCATTATGCCAGAACCCATGAGACTTGGTCTGGCAACAAGATTTGTGGAGGTTTGGCACTCTCAGGGCCATTGCCAGGTGGATTGGCACTCCAAACCATTGCTGAAATGCTGGTCTTTATTTTCTGATGAACTCGAAATTAGCTAATCTGTAGCACGGTAACCACTTGTTACGTGGTAATGTGTTTTGTTTTCAATCAAAATAATTGCTTTCCTATTTTAAAACAAAAAATTGTACTAAAATTACAACCACAGAAATATATCATCACATGGATTGTCCTGCATTTATGGCTTGCACTGAAGCCAATTTCAATTTTGCAATACTTTTGAGAAAATAGCATTAAGAATAATAAAAAAGAAAACATCAGAAAAAAATATCAGCGCTTTCAGTTGTCAATATATCTGTTATGTTCTACAGCAAGAAGCATCATTATGAGTGTTTTAACAGATTTTACTTCTGATCTCAGATACAAAATTTTCAAGGCTGATCAAATATGCTTATTTCCTTTCTTGCATGCATTAACTATGATAGTATCTCTGTCAACAGGATATAATGCATACAATCTGTGGCTTTTCCTCTATAAAGCTACATTGGATGGATCCATTGGAGAGTGTGGGTAACTGGGGCAGGAAGGCTTCCTGATGAATATGTACCTGAAAAATGTTTATCAGTATTTTTCTGAACTCACTTAATCAAATTCAGACAGACACCTACTTCCAACTCAAATCTCAGGTTTCCAATGGATTTCTTTTTTCTCTCCTTCTGCCTATAGGGATGACCTGCAAGGTAAGATTTTAGAGTTACCATGCTAGACAGAAGCAGGCAAAATAACCATTAACATATCCATTGGAGATTATTTTGACATTTCAGCTTTTTACCTTGTCTCTAACCTTCCATTAATGACTTGACAGTGGGTTTGTGAAGACTGAGTAGCAATTTTTATACTGTGTATTTGGAGATCTTTTGAAAAACGTGAGGATTGATTTGAATGTTTAGTAATAGAGAAGTGAGTGTAAAGGCATTTTCTCCTGGAATAGCAGCCCACATCTGGATGCATCTGCAGGTTCTCCAAAGTACAGGGTACCCACTTCACTCTTGCTAATGTTGAAAAACTGAACAACAAATTTGTTTGCAACCTCATTATCATATTTAAAGTACTAACCTTCCTTCTTGGAATGGATTGGCTCTCAGATCCTTTCAGACATCAGTTAAAGTTGGAAATGTGTGGATTACAGGCAGATGTGTGTCTGATTTCTAACTCTTAATACTTTAAACCTCCATCTGACCCAAATCGTCCTGTTAGAGTAGATTAAACTACCCCCATTAACATTCATAATTTTGTTGTAAGTAGTTTCACTGAAACTTTCTGACCTGACCACATATTATTGTGGCTCCTATAGCTATCATATGATGCAGCAATCTCTTTGCAGCTCTACATCTTCACCAGCTGTACTTGAAAATGATCTAAATTTGAAATTGCTGCAAGATTAGTTAAGAGGTTCGATGTTTGCTGGAACTTATCTGCAGCTACTTCAGGGCATTGGGCGATGTTGACTTTCAGTTGGGATGAGAGGTTTTGTAGTGATTGTAATGAGGTCAGCCAGAGGGACCTCATAAAATATGCATTCCCTGATTGAGACTGTTAATCTGGTCAAGGGATATCGGTCTCTGTGGAGTTATTTCAGTGGTGAGGAGAGAAAAACATACTCCCGAAGAAATTTATTTGCAACTGTTGCCTTTGAGTTAGGGTGAGCATTTCTGGCATCATGCTGTTATTTGGAAAGCTTGACTGATTTCATCCTGCCGTTGAAGACTGGACCCAGTATGTGGAAAGAATGTGTTGTTTTTTTCTGGGGCAGATGAAAAGTAATGAACAATTCTTCAGACTGCTTGTGGACCCACAGCTTTTTCATTTATTCGGAGCCTAGCTTTCCCTGAGGCACCAGGTACTAAAACCTTTCAAGAGTTGATGGATTCAGGTAAAGAATATTACAACGCCAAGCCTCCTCTAATTCTGAGATGCTATTGATTTTTCTCGGCAATTTGAGAACCGGGCAATCTGTATAGGATTTTGACTAGGTTCAGAAGACTGGCAGAGGCATGTGGCTTTGTTTAACTGTTAATGAGATGCTGAGAGACCATTTGGTTTGTTGGATTAATGATGTAACAATGTAAAAGTGCCTATTAACTTAAGCCTAACTGGACTTCAAACAGGTACTACAACTAGGTGGCATGGTGCTCCGTGGTTAGTACTGCTGCATCACAGTGCCAGGGCCCTGGGTTTGATTCCACCCTTGGGTGCCTGTCTGTGTGGAATTTTCACATTGTCTCCCTGTATCCTTCACATGCTCTGGTTTCCTCCTACAGTCCAAAGATGTGCAAGTTAAGTGAATTGGCCATGCTAAATTGCCCATAGTGTCTAAGGATGACTAGGATAGGTGGATTAGCCATGGAAATGTAGGGTTACGGGGATAGGTTAGGACGGTGGGTCCAGGTGGGATGCTCTTTAGAGGGTCAATGTGGACTCAATGGACCAAAGAACCTGCATCCACACTGTAAGGTTTCAATGAACTGGCTTTATCATTGGAAACTGTGGCAAGTGGAGAATTTGAGTTGCAGGGTATTCCTATGGAAATGAATACCCTTGCCAAGCTGACTGAATTTGGGGAACACCACTGGAGCGAAATCAATTGCATAGCCTCATTCAGACATATCCTGAACAGATGGACGCTAGGTCAGACCACAGCAAGACCCCAAAACAAAGCCAAACCTCAACCAAATGGTTAAAGTTTTCTTCAGGATCTGCTCCGGCAAGCAGTTGCAGTTGTTGCGGATTCAAGAAACTTATAAGCTGGTATCCAGGACAGTGTACACCATGGAAAGTCCACCTACATCTGGTTTGGAACAGATAAATTGCTTAGCAACTTTCAAATCAGAACCAATCAAAATAAATGCCTGGTTAAATAATCAACTGGTTCTAATGGAGGTCAATACTGGCACAGCCGTTTCAGTGATAGCAGAACCGGTCTTTAAGAAAATTCGCTCTGGACACCAACTCTGAAGTTTGTGCAAGACCTCAGCCAGTGTGAAAACCTACACCAGGGAACCTTTACAGATTAAGGATACAACTTCGGTTCTGGTCCCTTGTAAGAAACAGCTGGTTCATTTATCACTGATTGAAGTAAAAGGCTTGGGCCCAAGATTGATGGGTCAAAATTGATTGTGAAAGATCCACATAGATTGACTCAACATTTTTCAATGAGAAAACAGCTGCCTGAGTGAAGTCCAGTGAAATATCCAGAAGTTTTCAGGATGGTCCACAGATTACCGAAGGAGCCAAGGCCACCTTGCATATTGACCAGGAAGCAATTCCACAATTTTTCAAGGCCTGCCCAGCGCCATTTGCCTTACGGGCAAAAGTAGAGGCAGAAATTAGGAAGCTGGAAAGTGAAGGAATCATAAAACCAGTCCAGTTTGTGGAATGGGCAGCAATGGTTGCACCGATAATGAAGCCTGATGGGTCAGTTCGCCTTTGATGGGATTTTAAACAAACAGTAAACTGCTTTTCACAGCGGGATAAATACCCAACCCCTCGCATAGAGGATTCATATGCAAAGCTGGCAGGGGGTGCTATCAATCACAAAGCTGGATATGAGCCATGCATACTTGCAATTATGGTTAGATTAGGATTCCCAGAAATATGCTACAGTTAATACCCATAAGGGTTTGCACCAATATATGAGACTGCCATTTGGGGCACTGTCAGCCTGTGCAATTTTTCAGTGGACGATGGAGAACATTTTACAAGGTCTACGCCAGGTCACCATTTGTCTAGATGATGTGCTAATAACAGGGAAGACCAATAATTGCAATTAGAAAACTTGAACATAGTACTTAAACATTTCTCCTTGGTGGGTGTAAGTCTTAGAAGGGAAAAATGAGTGTGCCATGGCACTCCAAGTGACCGACTTGGGCTACAGAGTCGACAAAACTGGATTACACCCGTTGGAAGATAATTTGGTCAAAGGTGCTCCCATGTCAGTACTGGAGTTTAGGTCTTTCATTGGGCTGGTGAACTATTACAAAAAGTTCATACATAACCCGGCCTCCATCCTGGCACATTTGGATCATCCCTTAAAAAGGGGGTCAGTCTTGGAAACGGTTGCATAGCCAAGTCATAGTTTTCAGGGAAGTGAAGAAACAGTTATCAACCTTTAAGTTGTTGGTACACTATGATCCCAAGTGAGATCTGGTATTGAAATGTCATGCCTCCCCGGATGGCATTGCAGTAGTATTAGGTCATAGCTGGCCTAATGGCGAAGAACTCCTAATAGCGTATGCATCCAGGACTTTGGCTAACGGAGAGCGTAAATATGCCCAGATAGAGAAGGAAGTCTTGGCGGTCATGTTTGGAATCCGTAAGTTCCACCAATAGCTTTACGGACATAGATTTGTCATAATAACGGACCATAAAGCCCTGCTATGTCTACTGAAAGAGGACAAGGCTGTGCTGCTCATAGCTTCAGCAGTGCTAATTCAGGGGTGCACTCTAGTACAGTGTGTGTATATTTACAAGTTGGAACACTGTCCAGGAGATCAAGCAGCAAATGTGGATGCCAGTGGGAGGCAGCTCAATGCAAACACACTCCTGGTGGTACTGCCAATGGAAGAGTCCACGACTAGTGTGTGAGGAGACACAGGTCTCATTGCATATTCCCTGCTCCCATTTTGTAGCCATTCAAATAATAATCTCCCATTCTGTTTTGCTACTAAAGTGGATAACATTATGTTTACTAATGTTATTCTTCACTTGCATTTGCCCACTCACTCAGCTTTTCCAAATCACCCAGAAGCATCTCTACATCCTTCCTTCAGCTCACCCGACTGTGCACGCCCATCCCACCCAGCTTTGTGCTATCTACAAATTTGACAATATCACATTTAATTCCCTCATTGAAATCATTAATATCATGAATAGTTGTTATCCTAGCAGTAATCCCTGTGGTACCTAATAGTCATTGCCTGACATTCAGAAAAAGACCCAACTTATTCCTACTCTTTGTTTCCTATCTGCCAACTAGTTTTCTATCCATTTCAATACAGTACCCCCAAACCATTCACTTTAATTTGTCTGGGACGTAATAAACTATATCCACTGGCTCCCCTCATAAACTCTATTAATTACATCCTTAAAGAATTCCAGTGGATTTGTCAAGCATGATTGCCCTTTTGTAAATTCATGTTGACTCTGTCTTATCCAGCCACTGTTTTCCAAGTGCTCTGCTATGCAATCGTTTATAATGGACTCTAGCATTTCCTCACGACCAGCATCAGGCTGACCAGTATGATATTTGTGGTCTTTGTGAACACAGAAACAAAATAGGCATTTAGTTGGTCAGCCATTTCTTTGTTCCCCATTGTAACTTCTCCTGTTTCTGACTCTAAGTGACCTACATTTGTCTTCATCGTTCATTTTCTCTTCACATACCTATAGAACAGTCAGCTTTTATATTCCCTGCAAGCTTACTCTTGTACTCTATTTTTACTTTCTTTATCAATTCCTTTGCTGAATTCTAAACTGCTCTCATTCCTCAGGTTTGTTTTTTTTTTGCCAATTTATATGCCTCTTCCTTGGATCGAATAGTCTCTGTAATCTCCTTTGTAAGCGGTAGTTTGGCCACCCTTCTCATTTTACTTTTGTGCCAGACAGGAATAAAGAATTGTTGCAGTTCATCCATACACTCTTTGAATATTTGCCATTGCCTTTCCACTATCATCC